CTGAAAGCTCTTGAATTTAAGCACAAAGTCTGCATTTCAGTCACTTTTGGTGAAAGCAGAGTGTTTGTGGTCAGAGTCGGAGCGTAACGCTGGATCCTCGCTCCTCCAGCAGTTTGCAGGCTGTCACACGGACATGGTTTTATACAAACAGTCCTAAACACGAGTGCAAAGGCATGCAGCAGTACCCGCCTCCCGGCGCGGCGTCACCCACAAACCCAGAGGACATCACATGATAGAAAAGAGATTACAGCTCTGCATTAGCGAACAAACAGCAGCAGAACACGGTCACCGTTAGTGTTCGTGCGCAGAGCGCCGCTCCCGATGCAGTCAAATATATAAAGGTTATGCATTCATGCTGCTGATGAAGACAAGAGTGTCCGGCGACGGGTTTCAGGAGGATTAAAGGTCCTGTATTCAGACAGGAAGTGGAGTCTTGTGTTTGGTTTGAAGCTGACCTGAAAGAGGATGGACATCAAGTTCTAAAAGTATAGCTGGAAAACATAAATATTGTTTATGTTTATATAAACAATATCAGACAAGATCGCACTAGAAGTATGTAAGAAGCTGTTTGAGACGCAGTATGTTGCCACTCAGCATCCACCCAGAAACACCTCGGGCATCTTTTGGGGCAGTTTTCCTGAAGTATTATCTAAAGAAACGAAATCTTTAACGGTCACCGTGGCATAAAAGCTGCATGTAAAGAATCACCAGTAAAATCTGACGAATAGCACTTAAAAGTTTGCTGACTTTACAAGGAAACAAGGTTTTAGAAAAGTAGATAACTTAAACTTCTTCCACCATCTTTGCTGTTACAATTCCTCTCACAGGTTCAGGATCCGCTCTTCTAAAACCTCCACACTCAGTGGGAGCTGAACATTGAATACAGAAATAGCAGACAAGCTGATGCACTGAAACAAGATTAGATACTGTAACTAAAGTAGATTACTTTCGTTAGAGTAATCTTAGAGTTTTGGTTGAGTGTGGAGGTGAACCTGCTCTTGACTTCCTTGTTTTATTCATTTAAAAAAAGCCTCTGAACTCAATTAAAAGGAGGCGAGAAAGCCGGTTATTGGAATTTTATACTCTATTTGATTGCTCATGGTTCTTTCTTACTACCACTCAATCACACCAGAGGCCTATAACCTAACAGTTACACACTCACACTCTGATGGATGTATTGAGGGTGACTGTTGTGCCCAAGGATACTTCAAGGACCTCCAGCCTTCCAGTTAGCAGCTGACCCGCTCTACCTCCTGAGCCCCAGCCGCCCCAAATCAAACCATTTCTCACCTGCTGCACGACACGAAGCTGTGAGCGGTGAGCAAACAGCACACGAAGGCTTGTTTGTTCGTCCAAACCACAATAGTGAGTACAAAAACCTCCACAGGACCATGGTCAGAGGTCATCTAAGGTCGGGTCATTTCTAGTATGAAAACCTATTGCAGACAGCACTCGGTTGTTGTTTTCCTATCATTTTTATCTCTGGCTGTGACCTGCAGTCCTGTTTTTGGTTTTATTCATTTAGTTTATTCAATAAGTTTTTAAAAATTTATGACTTTTGAGGTGTTTTTGGAGTGAATTCGAGAGAATCTGTTCATTAATTACCCGCTGTTAATTCAAACACTGATAGATCGCCACCCGCTGAGGTCACAACACCAGCAGACGCAGCCAGCATCAACAGAGTTCTGTCCTGTACCTTTTTTAGCATGAAACCAAAACAGAACGTGAAACTTGGCTCAGGGTGTGAGGTGTGTGAGTTCAGTGACTGACGCTCTGACAGCTTTCATGGACGCTGCTGTTGGGAAGTTCTGAGGAAATGTGTAAAATAAGCTGACTCAACAGGTTTTTAGTCTGTTGTTGTGTTAAATCTTTTTTTTAAGTCTTTGAGAAATCTCATCTGCCAGCATCAGTCAACTGAGCCGATAACAGACGGATATATCAGTGCGTCCCTAAAAGCGTTTTCTTCTCCCTGATGAACTTCTGAGCATCGGTGTCAGACTCGGAAAGCTACAAATGAGATAATTTTAACAAAAATCTGTTTCATTGCTGTGAAAGAGGTTTGTGTGAAGTTCAGCACCAGACTCTAAAACGCCTGCGAGCTCGTTTTCGTCAGGCTGACGTGTGAACCTGAATACGGGACCTTTAACCGTCTCTGAGGATATTTAAAGTGAGATCTTGCACACTGTGCTGAGTGTTAGTGCTGCATTTGTGTTCATCAGATGAACTAAATTACAATAATCCGTTTTTTTAACAGTAGAGCTACTGTCAGTGTGCTTGACAGAGACGAGACAGGGAGAGAAAGAAGGGAGGGGGCAGAGGTGAAACTATCCGGACTCACTGGGCTCTCCTCAGAAGAAATGCCCAGTTTAAACCAGCTGCCGGCCCAACAACAGGACCCCGACCCACCGTTTGAGAAGCCGAACTGAGGAGAAACAAATCCAGCGACTTCCTGTTAATGTGTCTGTGTTAAATCTGTCCCACAGACTGTTCAGCTGCTCCGGTTTGACAGAAGAAGGATGCTTTGAGAAAAGAAAATCCCCCCAAAACTGAAACTTTCATCCTCTTTTCATGCTTCAGCCCACGAAACACAAACCAGACGTCCACTTTTATCCTCGCACTGATCCCAGCACGCACAGCCAGTCGAAGTGTGCGTCCCTAATCCTGTCAGATCCTGTTTAAAGGAGTTTTTTCTCCCCGCTCTCTCCGAGTCCTGGCTGATATTAAAAACAGCGTAACTAAGATTCGTCAAACTCAATAAAATATAAAACTTTAATCATTCAGCCTGCCTGAAGTGCACTCGATAGTATTTCATATTATTTTAGTTCTGGTATTCAGATCGTTCCTTTAATCGAAAAGTTAACTCTTTATTTAATTACCTCTGGGCTGAACCATTGCAGTTAACTGTTGCTGGGCTGCTGACTGGTTCGAGTGGTCATTACACATGTCAACGTCACTGGATGACTTTTATCATTATTTTAAAAGCAGATTTGAGAGAAAAAATGCAGACGGAAATTTTTTTTATCCCACATAAAAAAAATTTGTGATTAAAATTGGATTCCACATTATTTCCTTTGGTTTTGAAAGTGTTTAGATTAATAGACACCAAGTGGCTCCAGCTTCTGTATTAGGACACTTGACAAAACAGTCATGACCCTAATTTTAAGGCCTTAAAATCATCCAGATGAAGGAGTTTTTAAAAA